TATATATACACTGTATATACTGTATATAATCAGTAACAGTATCAGTTGCAACAAAAAATTTTTCCTTATGATGCTTACATAATCAGTGCATTTCTTGTATTTTAGCATTTTTATTATCATCTAAACTGTCTGTGTGCATAAAGGGTGATGAACATTTTGMAGTTTGTGTCAGTGATTTATTTCAGCCCTGAGTTACGTAATGCTCACATTGATGCAATGACAATGAATATTTTATATTGCCTTGGTATTAAACCTAATCTAATACTGCAAAAAATGTCCATCTATCTAAATTAGACATTGTTATATCCACCCAAAAGTATTTTTGATCTATTTTTGAGACTAAGCAAGTACAGAATGTGTTTGATTATTAATCTTGTTAGACTGGATTTTTTTCTTTTTATTTCAAAAAGTCTTACCAAGTGCAATTGTCTTAAAGTCTGAATCGACTTGGTAAGACTTATTGAAATAATAAAAAAATTCCAGTCTAAAAAAATGTTTTTTTTTTACAAATTTTTTTGCAGAGTTGGGATGCTATATGGTTTAAAACATGTTTTTGATTTTGTTCTTTGTTTTTTTTTACAGCTGAAGTTGAACAGTCAGTGATGAAGTCATGGGAAACACGAGGATAGCTTAGAGAGAACATTAAACCTAAGTGCTGTAATTCTTGAAAACCACAGTTGAACGGATGGCTACAGCAGGGATGCTGTAAGCTTCACTTACAAACCACGCATTGATAGTTTGTTCTTTACCTCTCTTAACTTGTAGAAAAAAAKAAATGTTTGTTACAACCTTCTGTACTCAAAAGGTGCACAAGAATGAGCTAAACATAAGTGACCATGTCACATCAGGCACACTACATGTTTATTCATTTATCTTTGGAATTCAATAAAATTAGGCAAAAAAAAAGTGGTTTAACAATGAGCCAAGCACCATGAGACTTATTAAAAGACCTTTTAGGCCAAATTACCTTCTCAGATTATTTGATCATCACAAATATGTTWTTTATTTATTGCAGTTCTAGAAGTGATACATTGTAAAAGGGTATTGTGCTCAGAATTCTTCTTTTTTCATCTAAATTTAAACAGAAATACATTTCTGCATTTCTTGTTAATCTATCAACAATTTGCTAATAATTACTGAAATCAGTCTAATTTTACTGGAGGTAATTTTTTTAGGGGGAAAAAAGATGGTGAAAAAAAAAAGAAAAACTCCTTAATTGATTGGGGCTGTTAAAAACAGGAACAAATCTGTTCCAATTTAGGGTTTCAATCATTTCTGTCTTGTTTTTGTTGTGCCACACTCACGAACAGTTTCTGTGAGGAAAACCAGAACTAATTAGCCAGTTGAATATTTGCACGTTAGCCCCTAACATATAAACAGATGGTGATAAAAAGCTTGTTTATCACCAAAGTTGATTTTTATGTGTAATCAGTCCAATATACAATTTTATTGAGAAATTACTGTAACCTTTAGTTACATTTTAATATAAACTAAAACGGCTAAACAACAGTAGGTTACACTCAGTGTTTCTGGTGCCTGGTCTCTTTTCAGATCCAGCAGCTATGGAGCTTGTGCATTACAACCTGACATCAAAATGTCAAAATATGTTATCATGATTTGAGAATGTTTTCTGACTCCTTCACCTCCTTGCAAATCCAAAACAAGGGAACCTATATGTTTATATGCCATACTGTTTTATTCAATACGGCAAACTTATTATACTTCGACAGCAACACAGTTTCAAGCTCTTGATACTTAGTATTTTCATGGCTGTAGCTTTGTTATGATCAAAGGGTTCCAGGGCCCTAAGTTTCAAATCCCCCAAAGCCCATTTTGGCTACTCTTTGTTTAGCCTATTGGCATTCTGACCCCATGCTTCTCAGACTTTGAACTCAAAGCTTGGAAAAGCCGTATTGCTTCTTTAAACACATTATCTGTGGGGCTAGGTTTTAAGAATATCAGTAATCATCTTAAGGATTTAGTGCAGTGTGGCAGTATAGTTAAAACTGAGGCACATTTACTCATGTGGGCACTGAGGAATTTTAGATTAAACTTAGAGGCAGTTAGTGGGTTGAAAGTTT